CCCCGTCGTTCCTGTAACCTTCTCCCTAGATCCTAGACAGAAACCTGCTGCTGATTTGGCTTTTTAAAGTCAAGTAATAATTTTCTTTCTCGAGCTGCTAAATGAAACGAACAGGCCACGTTTCGTCCATAGGCACAGATCCTAGAGTAATGCATGGCCTCAAGGAAAGCTAGACAGACACACAGACTCAGCAACAGAAGCTAATATTTTCTTTTTTTAAATTTTCAGGCCTTACAAAAATGGTGCCCCCTGCTTTTTTAAGCCTTGAAGTTCCCTGGAGCGACATAGTGGATTTTTGTTTTTAAACAAAATATATATAAAATTCCTTGATATGCTGCACCCAAATCCTAACAACCTTGTTAAATGATCCCTACTCATTCCTCTAAGTTTTCGTGTGCTTTTCCTCCTTGTAGGCTGTTAACTGTTAAACTGCCTGCTCGGGACTCCTTGCATTGCTCTGGGGAAGAAGTTACCTGCAGATGCCTTGCACCTTGCACAGGGGACTTCCCCTAGCAAAGTAGTTCATGTGCCGCCGTCTCCCCACCCACAGGTACTGCAATAGTAATAATGGGCTTCTGCATGCTGCATTGCACTGCTGCCCATGGTGTGCACAGCCAGCACACAGGCTGGATCCCCCCTTGCATGGCCACAATCTGGGGCAGGATGGCAGACCCTGGCCCTCTAGGACTTGGCCATTCTTTTTCCAAAAAGACATGAAACAAAGCGCTTAAGTTTGATGCCTGTTGCTATCCTCTTATGAGACACCGAACAAGCTTTGTGTGGATGAATGGTTGAAATGCTTAGCCCTGTATTTTTTGAGAAGATGACCTGTAGGAGAAACCCTAAAGCTTTTAATCAAAAACAGGACTTGCAGCTAGGAACCTGCAAGGACTATGCTAATCTCCATGTACATGAAACTTATTTTTTTGCCGCATAAATAAATATCCGGGCACATAGGGTAAGGACTCTGGAGGGAAAGTGGAGCAGACACATGATGCACAGCATTTACTGCAGAGGAAATATTGTTCTCCGGAGGAAAGTTACTCTGGAGAAAGTCAGAAGTAAGATTAGACTGGACAAAGTTCTCCGGTGTATGTGTTGTGTGTCTGCTACCATTACCTGCATCACTCTGGGGTAGCCATTGGCTTCAGGCTGGACACAGCCTGGGCTGGGACGATGCAGTTGAGGCTGGTCCTGTTTTGAGCAGGAGGTTGGACTAGATGTGACCTCCTGAGCTCCCTTCAACCCTCATTTTCTATGATATGATGACTCAAGTCAAACAGCTCCCTGGCAGCTGGCCACTGTAATACCTCCTATGTATTCACTCCTTGTGACAGAGTCAATTTACTTGCAAATAAAATCCAATGAGTAAATGTATGTCCTTAATCACAGAAGCAAAGAACCCCCCATTATCAACCATTTGAAACTATTAAAAAAAAATCCATTGCTGCTTTAGCAATCTTTACTGATAAAAGTTTCTCAGGCATATGAGAAATTTCATCTTGAGCCATTTTGTTTTGGCCAAATTAGGGAAAAGTTGTCGAGACTGAAAAGCATGTTGCAGCTTGAAGCTGCCGTCCTTCATTGGCTTTGGTAGCTCAACCCCCTGCTGTAGACACCCCACTTTTCTGCAGTGCGATCTGCATAAGTCTGCATTCAAAAGTCCAGATTGAAGGACACATACAGTGAATAGCATAACAGGATGCTGCGGGAGGCAAGGATTTCTTAGGGTGAGATGCTTTATTGGACCAGCTATGATGCTGGGATAAAGATGGACAAGTTTCAAATGCAAGATGTTCTTCATCAGGTCATGAGTGATCGCAGGGAACCAGGCATGGTGTGTGATCAGACAGCAAGGAGGAATGTCTTGCTTTTGAAAGCTTGTCTAACTTTATCCCAACTATATAGTTGGTCCGATAAAAGATCTCACCCTAAGAAATCCTTCCCTCTCACATAATTTCTGGACTATCACATCTACAACATCACTTTTACACTACCATAAGGTGATTGAGTGGAGCCCTGGCTATGCTAGTAATAGAAACAATAGGTATTTAGTGCACAGAGGAGCATTGACTGTTACTTGGGATGGGGCAGCATGGAGGAGCAGGAAAGGGCCGAGTCCTGGTCATTGCTGGATATAATGTGGAGTAGTGGAGTAATAAATCTGCTGCTTTATATCATTCAGCACCCAGTTATCAGCTGACTATTCATACACAGGCGTGATGCAATGCAATAAGAATGCACTCTCTGCACAATACTCCCCAATGTACCCATGTCACCCTAATTGTCTCTTTTAAACAGTAGTCATTAGGCAGTCCTGAGTCAAAATAGGAGAGGCTCTATTAGTTGGCTTTTTGTGTTTAGGAATGAGGAAATACAGTACAGTCTGTAACGCACTAACGTTTGCTACTTGCACCGCGTAGGAATAGCAAGGCCTTTCCTCCCACCACAAGGTACACGTAACTCCCATCAAAGTCAATCATTTTGATCAGGAACATAACAAAATAGGTTGGGAGGGTCATCTCGTCCCGTCCCTGGCTGTCGCAGGTGATCATCTCATATAGCCCAGCTCATAAAATTGATCATGGTCCACATTAAAACTACTTAGGCTGTTTGCACTCATACTCCTACTGGGAGAATCTCCCTGCTCGGATGGTGAGAAAACTTCTAATTTCTAGCCTCCATTTATTCATGGCCAGTTTACACTCATTTGTTCTTCCTCTCTTGTCCCCAGTGATCATCAACAAGTGTCTTGACGCCCGTCTTGCTGGGGTCATTTGACTCCAGTGGTCTTTCCTGCTCACGTGCAGGGGGCTGGACCTGAAGATCTGTAAGGTCCCTTCCAACCCCAAACAACTATGAAAATCGATTCCTCTATTAAGTGGAGACCAAAGACAGGGGATAAAGCATGAGGTGAAATCAAGGCAAGACTCAGGATTTGCAAACACGCTCTTTTGATGAGAGCTCCTCCATCTTGGACCACTCCTGAACTGGTTCCAGAAAACAGGTCCTTCTGGTTTGGCCCCCACCCAGAACATTTGTGACCAGGTTGGATTTGGGGATTCCCATATGACTAGCTCTCCCTGTGATCTCTGTGTAGCTACCTACCTGCTCCAGCTTTGTTCTCATTGTGCCGTACTGTTATGTTTCTAGGAGTTGGCTGTTGACTCGTAGACCCTTGACTCTTTGCTTTTTCTTGGTCAGCCAATTAAGCTGATTGCACATGGTTGCATCTCTGTGCATGGAAAACCATACCCCAGCCCTCAAATTCCAGGTCAGTGGAGTTGCCAGTTTATCCATCCCTTGAATGCAGACTGCTTCTCCCAGATCAGTTTCCGGAAGAAAGCACACGGACTTGCACAGTCCAAATACATCCCTTGCCAGAAGGTGTAGTTTATTGATGAAAACAGAATAATTCAGCTCAGCTCACCTTTCTGGTCTCCTTTGTGCCTGACTTGCAGCTGATATGAGGGCTCATATTGGCACAGTCACTTGATTGCAGCTGCAGCAATGCATTGCATATTCACTCTGAAGGTCACCAGCTCCATGACCAAGATGAAAGCAGTTACATTTATAAGGCATTGGCTTTCATAGTCCCAGCTCCTGCATTATAACTGGCAGAAAAGGCAGCACTGAATGAAGTTTGGATGTCTACTGACAGGCCTGGAGAAGGGGGAGAGTTCAGCTCCTGGGAAATTCTGGGTTATCAGTAGGTATAAACAGGTGTGATAAATGTGATAGGTCATGCAAATATTCCCATGCTCCAAGATATATCATACTCTGAGACAGGAAACTCCCAGGTGCTTCCTAAAGGTGATTAAGACAGCAAAGGAAAGGATTCAATTGATATCACAAAGCTGAGTCAGTATAGAAAGGACAGGCTTCTTGAAGCTACGATCAATGTATTTCTCATAGGAAAAGGCTGGCACTACGGTCATGCTTGGGGCTGGTATATTGTGCTGCAAGGAGTTTGTTTCCATGTATAATATTTGCTCTTCCAATGGATTCGAATGGCCCAAGGACGTGATTTTGGGCCTGAGCAAAGGCAGGCTTCAATCTTCTCTTGACATCTGGATGGTGGAAATAGCATGAGACTAGATCTATTCCTGTTCCTAAAAGGTACACTTTTGGGTTTTCTGGGGTTGCTGCAAAATGCAAACACGCCCTTCCGAATATGATAGCCATAGCATAAGTCTTTGCACTTTTGCTCCAAGGAAAGGTTCCCCAGGCCAACTGCTGCACATCATCAACCCCAAATATTTTCTGAACCCACAGAACGCGACTGGTGGAAGAGCAGGATCCTCTTTCAGTCACGGTGGAAGAAGCTTGCCTTGAATCACATGGAAAACCTCTTCCACCTGCGATCATTACCCAGAAAGGGTCATTTGGGCAAGCTGCCTTGTTTGTGATCAGATAGGCTCAGGTTTTTTGGTAAGATGACCTGGATAAAGAGATCCGTGCAAACCAAGTCTCTCCCACTGACCCACTATGGTGACCTTGTGCAAAGCATTCACCCCCAAAATGGCCATGCTGTCTGTCTGTCTGTTGAGACTGTAAGTTCACCAGGGCAGGAACAATTAATGCAATGGGGTTCGCCCAAACGAAAAGAAAAAAAAAAAAAGGTGGCTATCCAAGTTTGGCACTGAGTGGACCCCAGATTAATTCCTAGTATAATAAACAATGCATTTATTTAACTTTGCTGATTTGTTTAATTTTGCTGACAAGCAGCGGTTGCCAGTGGCATAGGGTTTTTCTGTTCCCAGCTCTACCATTCCCTGAGGACGAAAATCTAGATGCATCAATGAACCTCCTGGTGTCTGACTTGATTCGTCTATGAATCAGGGGTGAGAGCCATCTCCTAGCTCGCCGGAGAGCTGGGACCCTCAATGATTCATGAACGGTTTGCACAGCACAAGTGTTATAGAAATGCAGAGCACAGGGGGCAACTGGAAAAGAAATCCTAGCAGTGGGAAGTGCTTCACTTGACTAGTGCCAGGAGAGGGCACCCTCAGACCAGGTTCACCAACAGCGTGTTATTTCTGTTAACACCGCCTGTATATATCCTATTCTGAGAAGCGGTCAAAAGCTATATCCAGATCCAGGAAAATGTTACTCAAACTGATCACCAGTGTTTCTCTCTCCCTTTTTCCATCATGTTTCCAACCTGCTGCTACGTAGGTGCAACCTCGACAGAAACCTGAAAATGCAGATGCATCAAAAGATTTGGCTGGGCAATGAGTTTCTTTTCCTCACCAGCAGAAGAAAAATACCATACAAATGACATATTTCCCTTCAACTCTTTCTATATTTTTTGGTGGTGGTTTCTTTGAATGAAATGAAAACCCAAAGCTTTTGATTGTTGAAAAGCCAAAAGATGTGGGTTTTTAGGTGGTCAAGCCTGGACGCTTTTGCTGGAGACAGATTTCTCTTTGAAAAAAAAAGCACTTTTCTGTGCTT